CCTAGATACAACCAAATTATGCATTAGTAATGGTAAAGGGGAACCTCAATACAACCAAATTATGCATTAGTAGCAGTAAAGGGGAACCTAGATACAACCAAATTATGCATTAGTAATGGTAAAGGGGATCCTAAATACAACCAAATTATGCATTAGTAGCGGTAAAGGGGAACCTAAATACAACCAAATTATGCATTAGTGGCGATACGGGGGAACCTAAGTCCCGTAGTGGATGTTCATCCGCCATAAATACTGATTAAGTACCAACATCCAGTAGAACACCACAGTAAGACATTATTAGTTGTTGTAAACAGTAAAGAACTGGCGTGACAACTCGACGTGTTACATGCAATTTTGTTTTTAAAATAGGGCTGGCTAGCAAAATCTGAAAACACTCAAAAAAGTTAACAGCTCTTAGGACTAATTTCAATCTGAACCACAACTGAAGAAGTAATGAACAAAGGGTGATCCATGTAACAGTTAGGGTTAAAATAATGAAAACGCTAAAATCTTTGACTTATTATTCTGTACAGTTTTTAAAATGGAGCAAGTATATATACCATAAAGTTGATATCGTTATAATATATATGCATGGATATATAATTCAAAAGGTGAATTTTACATAAGGTTGAATAAATGCCAATATGTGTGATATACACTTTGTGAAAACACCTTTTTATGGGTGGATTACTAAATAACAAAGAAGAAAACACCCAGTGATACATACCTCGGGCGTATTCTTTTTAAACTCCCGACATAACTCCACAAGTCTTCTTCTAGATATGTCACTTTCCTCCTGCTTGTTAGCGAGTTCTGTAGCTCTGGCATCCAAGTCTTTCTGTGGACAGAGATAAAACAACTCTGTGTAGCAGTTCTTTCAAGCCGGAAACTTTGTAACTCTCAATGTTTTTATACATTCATATACACCAGGAGTTTTCAACCTTTCTTACTCGCACGCCCCACAGCAAACATTTTTTGGTACTTGCCCCCCCCCCTCCTCCAAATGCAAATTTGCCCCTGATTGGTCCTTTACTTAAAAGCGCGTTTAAAAAATAAAAAAAAACGTTAAAGACAACAGAGTGCTAAGTTGTATTATATTATATTTTCCAAAATCAATATTTTTGTAAGTTGTTATGGGATCATTCAAACGTTCGCCCCCCCCCCCCGGAAAGATTGACGCCACCCAGCGGTCGAAAACCGGTGATATAATAGGCGGTATGGGTCTAACAGTTAATCAAAATTGCACTGTAGTCGAAATATTTTACTTTTGATACCTGGACAGACAAACACATGTGTACATATGGTCATTTATTTTATGACGAGCAAATAAACCCACAATACTGATCACTTACAATTCCAAAGCTACTATTTAAGGGAGGAATGCTCATCTGACATAATGTGAACATTATACACTTAAAGAAAATACACGTGTATTTATATTTAATAAGGTTGCACTAAAAATACAGAACAACGTGAGCATGGTGCTACAATTAGAGTATTATGAAAGAGACTGCATAAAATAAGGTGATCTTTATTGTACATAATTGGCTCTATTTTCATGATTTGTTCGTAATGATTGTAATTTGCTAAGTTAAAAGGATTGTCCATTAATCTTAACAAAATAGCTAATAATAAGTTTGATATACATATATATATATATATATGATGTTGTTGTTGTTGTTGTTTTTTTGAAGAGCACTAGGTCATGCATGTTACATCAGTATTTGTTTACCAGCATTATTAGATTTGGTAATGATGATAATAGTTTCAATTTATATAATAATAGTAACAGCATCAAATAAATAACTCAAATTATTGTAATAAAAGATTATTTTTTAGATATGCACCAGGAACCCATTTTCTTCCAAATGCTTATTTCCAAAATGATTTGCATTACAATATCTTCTGGCTACAATGGCTGATTACTTTGTACTACAACAATGAACGTTTGTATATCAACTTACGGATTGTATAGCTCAAGCAGCGTCTATCATGTGAAAAAAAAATGGTTATGAGAAATAAAAATTGTAGTGTCGTTTGTTCTCTAGAAACACTGCTAAACTATCAACAAATCAGGCAGTTTTAAATGTTTAACCCAATTGTTTAAACGTTTTCCAATTAATTCATCTTTCCATGGTCAGGCCAACCTGCACTCTCCATATACCCAAAGGACTGGCTTGACTGTGAAAACATGAAAACAAGAAGAAGGTTATAAAAAAAGTGAAGGTTATAACAATATTTAAAGTCAGTCTTAACCTCACAATTGATTCTTGCACAAACATGTATTAAAGGTGAACCAATTTCAATTTACAGCTTGTAATCGATTATCAATATCAAAAGATAGTTAGTTTGTTTAGAATATTCACAGCAAACTACACAAGGGCTATCTGTTCCTAATTTTGAATCCTCTGGTAACCATTGGGTTACTTTTGACTGACCGAATAGTGAAATTTGACCATCGCCCTTATAACATACTTATGGCCCCAAAGTATGGAGTGCGAGCTCTCACGACAGAGGGACGCAAACCATGAACCCCCAGATAAAAAGTCTTGGCACGCTAATGACTTTGCCACACCCGGTCCCAACATCATCAGATAACGTTCAATATGTTCATTTCAGTCCTTGGGCATGTTGATCTTCGTTCGTCAAGGTTGCCTTCAGAATATACATAATAATGGTAATATACTAAGTATTTAAAACAGGTCCAAACAGTTGCCAGTATTAAAAGGAATGGCTAATGAAGCTAATCAAGTTAGAGTAATATTTAGTTTGCACACCAGCAGGCCTACCCACTGACTATAATTGTGTATAATCAGTGAGTAATAGCTTATTATTTCTAATAGCTTAACATAGGATTTCCGGTCATTGGTTTCATAACAGATTAATTTAGATACAGAACAATGTGGATTATTTCCTGTTCGGAGAACGCCAACTTTACCACCGTAAAACAATAATCGACAGTATAAAACAGAACCACCAGCGTGCAAGGTCCTCGGGTGTTTTCATTAGCGTGTGGACCGATATAGCTATATTTTACCTAGTAGTTACGAACGATCAAAAACAAAAACAGTATAAAACAACACCTACTAATAATTTTGTTGTACTGAAATAAGTCGATGTATAGCTACTACATGCTTCCTGGACTTTTTTTAGATAAGCAGAATATATTCGTATCGGTTTAGGGCAGCAATGCTAGAAATATCCATAATTGTTTATTCTATTTCTTGAGCTCACAGATAAAAATATATTTACCCATCTTATACTAACATTGAACTAAAAAAGTAAAGAAGCTTAGCGAAAAAACTGAAGGATAAAAGATCCTAGTTTAGGTTGTTTGGACGAAACTACCATCATTAACAATATTTAATGACGTCTAACTATCTGCGGAGGATATACAAAAAATAATTTTTATTTCAAAAGAGGACTCGCAGAAAGTATATAAAAATAAAAAGCTACACAAGTATAATTTTTGTTGCTTGTAACATTAAGCTCTTAAAACCTATTCAGTTAAAAGACTAGCTACATAGCATATGAAATATATTATTTCACTTTTCATCATGTTTCATGTACAGTTAACAGAAAGAAAGAAGATAATTCCATATACTTCACATGAATAACATAATATATTTTTTGATGTAAATAAATACTTACTACTTAAGATCAGACAGACAGACAGAAGGGGCCAGTGGAATCTGCCAATGAATATCCAAGAAAAGAAGCAACTTAAATGCGAAGAAACGTTACCTACGTTACCAGATTACTGGAGAGTGACAATTAAGTCACGAAACCGGTACTGACAAACCATGCGCTTCAGCAGCATTTCCGAAGAACAAAGATAACATTAAACCACAATCCCTTATTTAATTTCCTCAGACGTGAGTCATACATTCACGCAACCGCTTTCGAAACAACAATTTTCCAGTTTAAGATCAGCGTGCTTAATTCACTAACGTTATTTAAGGTAAAATAAATGCCCCCCCCTAAACATTTTCTAAAAATGCTTAAGTATATATCTCGAAACACTTTCTAAAAATGCTTAAGTATATATCTCGAAAACACTTTCTAAAAATGCTTAAGTATATATCTTAAAAGCACTTTCTAAAAATGCTTAAGTATATGTCTCGAAAACACTTTCTAAAAATGCTTAAGTATATATCTCGAAAACACTTTCTAAAAATGCTTAAGTGTATATCTCAAAAGCACTTTCTAAAAATGCTTAAGTATATATCTTAAAAGCACTTTCTAAAAATGCTTAAGTATATGTCTCGAAAACAATTTCTAAAAATGCTTAAGTATATATCTCGAAAACACTTTCTAAAAATGCTTAAGTGTATATCTCAAAAGCACTTTCTAAAAATGCTTAAGTATATATCTTAAAAGCACTTTCTAAAAATGCTTAAGTATATATCTCGAAAACACTTTCTAAAAATGCTTAAGTGTATATCTCAAAAGCACTTTCTAAAAATGCTTAAGTATATATCTCGAAAACACTTTCTGAAGAAAAAAAAAAGACAGATAAGAGTTTAACATTTATTATGGCAATAATAATATAAATAAAATAAATACATATGTCAAAAAGGTCCAAGAAATCAAACGATTGACTTGATATACGTCCATGTAGTGGATACTGAATAGACAGTTTATTGTGCAGACTTGCTAGCTAAAAAAATCACAGTAAATGGAACACACTATGAAAAAGCTTGCAATCAGAAAAACCAGTTTCACATTCATATTATGTCCTCTTCAATTTCACGTTGTGGACCAGTTTCCCTGGCAGAAGACAACACGAGACTGAATAGGACCCACTAATATGTCGAAACCAGTTTTTCTAATCCCAAGTCTTTTGATAGTTTGTTCAATTCACTATATTTCTGTTTCTTCCAGTAGTTTTTCAACTATTATGCAAAATATTGTTATTTCATTACAAAAGGATCTCCTTTACAGGTTTTATAATAAAAAGTAAAAAAAAAAAGCATTGTCTAATTTTTTTTACAACCATACTTTAATTTTTTTCGTACTGTTTCCCAAGGTTGAAAATTGAGTGTTCTTACATATTTGTAATTCAGACATTTGTGAACTGTGTATACGATGTTAAGTCTGCTTGTTTGAATTTATGCACAAAGCTTCACAATGGACTATCTGTGCTCTGCCCACCACGGGTATCGAAACCCGGTTTCTAGCGTTGTAAGTCCGCAGACATACCGCTGTGCCATATAATTGTATAGAATTAATTTAAGTTACACTTGTATGTTTCTAATCGATATCGCAAAAGTTATATGAAACACTGATGTTGAACTATTTGTTTATAATGATGATGAACTATATGTTTATAATACCTATACTTTTAAATTTGGTGTTCAAATTATTGCTTCCTGCAACAATTCATTTACTCCCTGACTTCGGGAAGTACAGAAGTCTGTTAGCTTTCGTTTCAGATAATAAGAATTAAACGTATTATTACGTCCTTCATGTTTGATTTGTTGTTTATCTAGCGCAAAGCTACACAATGGGCTATCTGTGCTCTGTCCACCTCGGGAAATCGAATCCCGGATTCAAGAGTTGTAAGACTGGAAATTACTGCTTATCCATCGTGGGAATCATTATTTATACAGACTCATATAAAATGTTTTACGTGCTAAAAATATCCAATAACTTACTTCGTGGTTATCTCTCGAAAACAAATTGTACAAAACATTGCAGCCACATATATATATATATAATAATGAAAAATAAAATCAGCATCTACTGGAAGTTTATCAAAATTTATAAAAACTTTGTTCTGGCCTTGGAACTACTTCTTCAATCGTTGATTGTACTCTTTATGAAGGTCGTGATTAC